GCCTTTAGGCCGGCTACGTATCAGGCGACGCAATGAAAGAATCGGGTTAAAGCGTGCGATTTTGGAGAGTAGAGACAAATCGATCGATAGAATAGGATGCAGTAGAAGTGTGAGATGTGAATGCAATAAGTCAAAAGGCCAGAAAGAGTTTCTAGTGAAGGCACTCCAAGAACCAAGTGGAAGCATTCCCGTCGCCAGCATTTGTGACAGATGTCCGGCGGTACTTTGAACGCGTAGCAGCCCTTTCGGTTTTTCGAATTTTTACCAAAACAAATGCAATTTTTGTGTTTTCGTTCTTATCGTGAACGATGAGCCAGTTAATGGGTGAGATAGAATCACGATTTTCCCGAGAAGAATTCCTTTGAGGGCTAATACCGCAAAATAAAATGCAGCCATTAAGCAAAAAAGTTCAAAGCATTCATCGAATATTTTACGTCTTGAACTCAAACTGAATTCTCTTCCTTTTGAATCGTGAATACTTACCGTTTCGAACGCAAGGGGTATTTGGTTATTTTTAATCATGTGAGCAAGAGCCTGTCGGTCGGCACCGACGGAAAGCGAAGGAGCTGGTGTAGCGGTTGCGGCAACGGCTGCCAATGTAGCTGTTTGCAGTGCTCGCATTTGCTGCAGGTACTGAACAACAGAAATAGTAAAGCGGGAAAGGAAAATTATCAAATACGAAAACATCACAAATATTACAGATAATAACTAGATAGGCACGAGGAATTATTCATAGAAGCATTCGCACCTGGTCAAGACCATGACGGAAATTGTCATTAAGCTGCTTGAAAAGCTGCGCGCAAATCCGTTCTATAGCTGGTACCACCATCGTTGTTAATTGCTGTCGAATCTGTTCAGTAACTGCGGTGAGAAAACAGCCATCCGCCACTCACTGATTAAAATGTAAGAAAGGGAGAAAGAGAAGAAATGTAAGGGCCATACTATGGGCAGAAGGGATTTGGTAAGGATTCAATAGTAATGGGGCGCTAAAGTAGAGACGTTCAGTCATTTAACGTTATTTCAAACGACGGTGAAGCGGATATCAAAGTACATGAGGACAATACATAAATCCGAGAAGGAAATTTTAAAAAATATTCAGAGTCAAGTTTTATTTCCAGAATAAAAAGCACAACCAATCAATATTATGGATTGGAAAAATCAGATGCACATTCAGATAGGGGTGGTCGTTTAGAAGGAAAAAGCTTTGCCCATTATTGCCATGAGTATTTCTATAGCGGGAACCCCAGGTCCATTACTGACCAGTGGTAGTCCTGAGCTTACCGCAACGAGAAAAATTCGCACTACAAAAAGCGGTCAAGCCTCTATTTGCCCTAGCAACACACCCTTCAAAAAGCATTCTGAGGTTCTTGATGGAACGATCTGGCCAAAGTGATGAACCGTGCTGACTCCAAAAATTTTCAAAGGTTTCACACCACACAGCCCCTTCACGTCACAAATACCTAAAAATCTTAATCCCGCGCCGTCGAGTGTCAATTATACGCACTTCCCGTGAACATAACCAGCGTGCCATTTGGGCAGCCCAGCCAAGAATAACAACGTTTTCACTATAGTCTTTAGCTTTGAAAAAGCGAACGCGGAAGAAGTTCTGTAAGGAAACGACAGTGACCTTACCTTATGGTTTGCTTGAATAGAATTTTCTACGGCCACTGAATTCTCATTGAGCGCGTTTCGGACAACATTAATAGTCTCGCGATGATTCGTCTCAATCAAATCCGACACATTCGCCAGCAAACGATGCCGGTCACGGCAGCGGAAAAAGCTCTTCTTCTGAAATGACTATCCCAACATTTCCATGAATCATCCAAAATCATGTTTCCAAAGATTATTTGAAGAGATAGGAATGTCATGCCATACTATGATTGCTGTTGACTTGAATTGAATTTGCCGAATTCCTTTGGAGAAGAATTTCTCTTTTGTAGAGAAACAATAATTATGTTCCAAAGAATAAGTTCGCCCATTTCTTCGATTGTCGTATAGCCAGAATACAACACTTGGAACTCTGGTCACACCCTACCCTTGTCCTGGACTTCAGTCGTTGGTTTTGCCACGACAAGTGGGAGATTGTTTTGAACGGTACTCACTTTCAATAATATAAAGCAGGATTTGCTAGTTCGACTTTTCTAATTGCCCATAGCCAGCCAAAAGTTTTGAAAGAGGATGCTCCATGGGTTCTTGATCGAATTCATGTTCGGCCGGATAGGAAGATTGGGATTTCTTTCTTTAACAAAATGACGATATACATCATATACTATCCTAATCTCCGTAGTCGCGAATCACGCGCGCGACCTAAGGAATCACCACTCGGGTTTTCTATTGAAAGTTGTCACCATAACAACACAGCAAAATGGTGGATTCGGCATTTCGTGCGTTTCTAGGGACTGCGTTAAGAACAGCAGAGGCGCTCTCGAAACATAAGAAAAAGCCGAATATTTACATTGTGGAACAGCTGTGGATATTTGATCTCACGACTCAGGCCTTTTTCAAACAGTCAAGCTGATCGAAGAGTGGGTAGCCTGAAGGAAGGAAGAATGACATTTGCTCGCCTTCATCAAATGCGAAGTTCTTCAGTCGCAAAAATTTCCAGAAGGCAGCGCAAAAATCCCACAAAATATTTACTATGGCAATGCAGCGAAACTGGGCACAGAAATAAGGGAAAAACCGCTCGTAGTTATTTTTTAATGCTTTCAGCTTCCGAGCTCTCAGCAAAGAATCTACCAACAACCTCGTAAATCAGAGAAAAAAAAGAACACAAAAGCCGATGGTTCTTATAAAATGAAGAACGTACTGAAGCACTGAAGTTGCGACAGGATGTGTTCATTCGTGGCGGCAGAGCGTCGTTCACTGTCAGCCCTTTCAACGCGTACAGAAAGCTGTTCAATCTATGAAAAAGGTTACGTGAGCTCAATTCCAAAAAATGAATTGCTTCTGAATTCCCCTTGACCAACCTTATCGTTCATTTCCTTCAACTGCTCCATCAACTTCTCGTAATCTACAGGAGGAGTAGAATTTGCTGCGGCGGGAGGCGCGACGGTAAGCAAATCACTTGGCCCTTCGTTGCCGCTGCAAAATTAGTCGAATCAAACTTCGAAGCACTAACCGATTGCATTATTACACTTCGGCATCCATGAGGCCATGTACGGATTAGTGCCTGCCGACTACGTTGAACTATAGCCCATCTTGAAGCTGAAGCAACTGAATCCACTTTAGTTTTCCTTTATTTGAAAGCGATAAGTTTTTCCTCGATTTATACACCTATCTTTTCTATTTTACTAAATAAAGTATGCAAACAAATTTCTCCGATTTAACGTGACCGCAAAATGTTGGTGTTGTCAAACTCTGAGTGTTGATAACCAAGCTGCAGAAAAGTTGTACCAGCTCACCCTTGTAAGACATTGAAGATTAGTAAATATTGTGAAAAAAAACTAAGCAATCTCATCCCAAGGAAAATCGCCAAGCAAGAGAAGTGAAACGATAATGAGCTAGAATTACCGTTCTTCTGCTCCAGTATCTCCTTCAGTTTTGATGGTGGGCATTGT